GCACCCCCAAAAGAAATCTCTGGCGCCGCCACTGAGCCTGACTATTTGTGTTGGGGGGGCCCGACTTTTTTTTTTCTCCAAAGGGGGGGCCTGACAGAAAAAGTTTGAGAACCACTGCCTTAATGTGTCTTTATTTTGCATTTAAAGTATTATTAGCTTATAACATAACGTTCACAATTAGTATGGGATTCAAGCTCAACTTCTAAATAATCTGCGCAAATAGCTAAGACTTTAATGTCTAAATGCAGATCTCTGCAATGAGAAGCGTATCCTCTAACTCCATAAAACATGAATGGAATTCAAATGGAAGTCATAAAAAAAAACTGTTGTACTCTCTTTTGTGTTCCTTCCTGCCTTCATAACATTATCTTAACAAGCACATGGATTCCTAACACTTCTTCAACACATCAATGTGAGACAGAACTGTGGAATAAAATAATGTCTGTGGTCCCCCAAAGTGGAGGAAAAAGTGTTTAATAATAGATAACAACTGTAGTACGGGTTTGAGAGATTAGGACACAGAGAATAAATACCACTACAATAAACTGGAGGACCCTGATATACTAAAATTATTCCTCCAGTTTCATCTTTGCATTCAACAACTTAACATCATGCAGTTGCCATGCCAACTGGTTTTCAGACGGCTGCTGCTATAATGAAAACGGGAAATGCTTCTTGGGCACTGTGCAAGAATAAGGAGTCCCAATCCGACATTAGTATTCACATCAAGAAATGCCCCTGAGCGAGACGGCTTTAACAACTCACCGAGATGTCAAAGAGCTCCTCAGTGTCGTCCAGCATACGGACCCTGACGGTGACGAGTCGCCCAGGGGGCATGGCGGGGGGTCTGTGCCCGGGGTCCAGCGTACTGATGCCAAGAGTCTCCGGGGCTCCAAGACGATGTCCTGTTCCCATTGGCTCTGGGTCTGGCTCTGCCATGCTGAACTGTTAATGCTCACTGCCCAGCCTGCACAGAAGCAAAGAGAGGAAGGTCAGGAAACACAAGTACGTGCAGTCATTCTCTGCTCCTGAATACACAAGATATGAACACAGATTGAGGAGTAACAAAAAGTAGTAAGTAACCTCGTCTTACAAAGCGTTTGTGGTGCAGCAGGTGAAATAAATGTAATGCATCATGGAGTGCATATATAAAAAGGTATACGCATCAGGGCCAGGCTGCAAAAACATTCACACTAACACAGTAATTGCAAATGCAGTTTTTACACTCGCCACTAATAGCTGATAATTGTCGCCTGTGGGAGAACCAATTATTGTGAAAAAAAGAAAAACGATCCGAGGATGTTCTAAATTTCAAAGCGGTAATCAAGTAGCCCTAATTTGGTTTGACAAATTAACCATGAGGCCAGAATGTAAAAATCAAAGAGTCAATACGATGACGGGTGATCGGTGAAGTTGTAAAAGCAAGGCCTTAAAGCCAAAGACACACACACATACATTTGGTTGGGTTTTAATTGGTCTCATGGGGATCAAGGAAAATACGTGAGGACACTGTAGGAGAAGTGACCAGAATGAACAGTGGATTTTGGTTATCAAAGAGCAGAGTAAAAAACATTGATTGCAAATATTTTACAGTTATGACTATATAAAGTCCAATTATTGATTTGCTACTTTTAAAGAAATGCAGTGAAGACTTGCATAGAGTGGCTAACTTCACACATCCCTTACTGCAGCAATTTCCTACCAGGGGGTACTTTTGCAGTTTCCAGGGTACATAGAGTGTAGAGTAGCCAAATTAATAGATGGATGGATGGATAAATGTTATCGATATATTATTCACTTTTAGTTCATCATTAAAATGTTTCATTTCTTAGTAAAAAGTAATGGATACATTTTTGAAATAATTGATGTTAAGTAATGGATACATGGTTAGAAGATAGTGAAATGACTGTTCAAGTTAGCTTAAAGGTGGGGTAGGTAATTTTGGAGAAACCAGCTCGAGTGCGCTAGAATTTGAAAATACACTGGGCGACTGTGGCTGTGAGGGAGTGTGGTCGTCTTTCAACCAGAAGGTTGTGGGTTCGATCCCAGCCCATGCAGTCAACATGTCGATGTATCCTTGGGCAAGATACTTAACCCTGAGTTGCTCCCGATGGCATGGCCAACGGTGTGTGAATGTGTGTGAATGTTAGGTCCTAGAGTAAGGTACACTGCTCTGTATGAATGGGTGTGAATGGGTGAATGACATGTAGTATGTAAAGCGCTTTGAGGGGTCTTAAAGACTGGATAAAGCGCTATATAAGTACAGTCCATTCCATTTACACTGCCGGAAAAAATCTGCCACTTCCTTACAGAGCCCTTCCTCCAACACACACGAATGAGGGCACGAGATAAGTTTGTGGACAGATGGAAGGCTGACAGGCAGGTAGGCCATCCAGTTATTTTAGCCGGGCCGGCTAAAATGATTGGTCGTGCTTTTTACAGTACTACGGCTTCCACAAATGAAATGTTTTTAACGGAGCACTTAAGATATTCATTTCTATCGGGATGTTAAGCGCATTCCATGGAATATAACAAAAAGTGTATCTCGAGCCGGTTTCTCAAATGTACCTACCCCACCTTTAAGATAATGGATAAATGATTAAATAAATGCCGTTGTAAATCCTTGAGGCGATCCTACAAGATTGGGCAAGAAAAAGTCAACTTCCGTAACACATTAAGCCATATAGGGTCCCATCTGAGTGTGACTCTGTTTTTGTATCAGGTTGAGGACTGTGTTTGGACAAAGTTGTGGACTCATTCACTCTTGGTTGACACCAGAGCGTCTGCTATCCCCCCCCCGTCATGTATCCACAGATCCCCCGAGGCCCTGCTGCCCAGCTTAATGCTCTCTTCATTGCACATTCCAGCAGGCTGATGTCATCCTGAGACCTAACTTAGTGCTTCATCGGAGCATCGAGGCCAGTGAGCAGTTGTTCAGCCGCCGCAGAGGTGAATGACTGCTGCCAAGTTTAAGCTGAAAGCTGAATAAGGCATTTGAAAAAGGAGTGGATAATGTAATCCAGCAGAGTGCATGGAGAAAATAGGCCAAGGACAGTGAGCACTAAATTCTGTCTGATGATGGTCTGTCTGATATTTAGGAGAGACACCAAAGACGTTTCCAGTCCAGTAGGTGTGATGAATGAGGTAAGATGCGTCAAGGCTGACAAGTAGGGCTGCAACTAATGATTATTTTCATTATGGATTAAAATGTCACTTCTTTTTATAATTGAATAATTAATCAGTTGGTCAATAATTAACTAATGGCACAGATGACTGTCACAAATTCCTAGAGCTCGAGCAGACATCTTTAAATTGTATTGTCTGACCAACAGTACATTAAAGATGTTCAATTTCCAGTGTGTAAAAAAGCAAACCTTCCCATTTGGGAAGATTGAAACAGCCAATACAGGTTAATGAACAAAAAAACTAAACAATTTTTAGAATTTATTAAAGTACATTTTCTGTTGTTCAGCACTAGCGATAAACGCTCTGTTCAGCTGGTTCCAAAATACACAACTATATTAAACTCTGTTGAATACTAATCTGTCATTAAGTCCTTTTGAAGATCCATTAATAATGAAACTTAACATTACATGTGTAGTTTTTTTTATCATTTTAATGTCATGTTTGGGTTTCAGTCCTTACCTAGAACTTTTATGTAACTTTGGTTACTGACGCTGAAAGCTAGGAAGATTTAAAATTTGATTAAAAGCTAAGAATCCCCAACCATAAGGGCAATGGAGTTACAAGAGCAATGTCTCATTATTTCCACCTGCCGTACAGTCATCAGCAGACTAACACTCCCTGGGGCTGATGGAAAACAGACCAAATGCTGTCATCAGGAGCATGAATGGCACATTTTTCAATTGAAGCCCAGTCATTTCTGACATTTGATCCTCCCACCGTCATCACTCAGAGGCCTTTGCTTAGATTATCGGCAAGTGTCTCATGCCAAGTCTGCAATTCATGTCCTATATGACCTGCGCATGCATGCCGTGTAACTAGACACTCTTTAAACAAAGCACCAGTGAGACAGAGGGCAGTGAAAGAGTAGACAGTGATTATTTCGGCCAACAGGGATCATTTATCAACCAGTCTTTAGAGTATGTGTTACTATGAATGGATAACTCCAAACAGGTCCAAACAAACACACAAAACAGTCCCAACTTCAACTGAAAGCACCTTGTTTCAGGGGCCACAGTGTGACATAAAGCATAGCCTCCCAGGACCCAGTGTCACAGGGACATTTACAGACCCCTGAGTGTTTCCCACCCTGCCTTTGAACTTGTTTGCCTTAAATTCACCACAACTGTGTAACATGGAGCTGTGACTGCTGGCTCAGAGTCTCCGGGGTTATAACAGTGGCTCCTCTGTGTGTAGGGGCAAAGGGGCCCCCTCAGTGCAGTCCAACACTGCACAGCTGGAATCCTTTAGTGACAGCTGGATGGCCAGAGGCGTTGCTGATAAAGCCAGATTTCTACCTGAGGAAAGGCCCACAACAAAAAACAGCACAATTTCCTCTGTGTTTTGCAACAGTCACTGATACCTGGGTGTGGCTGGCTTTGCCTGAATAAGTTCCCACTGTATTATTGGCAAGGTTATGTGTTGGTTAAGGGAAAATAATGACAACTACCTGAGAACATGCATGTTGTAACCAGTGCTTGGCTGACATCCAAGCCTTTCCTAGAACAATCATGAATGATAATTGAGAAAATAGTGAAGTCAGGCACTCATGAGGGTTTTTTCCACCTGACACTGTCTGGTAGTGTGTTCACACCATAACTATAATGTAGGTTAATAGAGCAGGCTGCTGTAATCCTCTTGACATTATCAGCCATTACAGTACTATGTAACATTAATGCAAAGCCTGTGCTCACCTGGACACCTTTGCTTAGAAATATAGATGACAGATTCAAAATGCTCAGTTCCTGATCATTAAAATGTCACTCAAGAGGCATGAAGCATTACAGAGACTGCGGCGTCTGCACACATCCATACAGCTAAGGTATATCTGCAAACACACTGGAGGACAAACAGGACAGTTACTGGCAGCACATGACATTTTTTTACTAACAGTGGTAGTTATTTGCCTCCCTCGAAATCCACAGGATCACAAAACAACACGGCAAAGATACTCCCAGGATTTAACCCTAATCTCATCAAACAAGTTGAATCACTTCCCTAAGAGCAACCAGGGTGAGGACTCTCTGCACGGTTCTTACCGCTTCTCTCCAAATGCGGGCTTGTCCACACGTATGTATTTCCCAGCCGAAAGGAGATATAACATCCACGTCCAGCGGTAGAGGCTGAAAAATGAAGCCCGGGTGAGTTTCTAGCAGCCGCTCGGACTGGAGAGGCTTTCTGCGGTCGCCATGGTGGACGACTGAGAGAGTGAGCCGGGGAAAGACGGGATTACATTGAAGCGAGTGGCGGATCCTCTGCCGGTGCCTTCCAGTCAAACAATGAAGGAGGCGCAGCACCTCCACCTTCTCAGCGGCAGCGACACACGGAGGAGCAGCGACATCTAGCGGGGTTTGCTGGAACAACAGTATTCAGATACTAAAAACTAGAGGTTTATGGCCTTAAAGAGGAACTTGCAGACACCAGTGAATAAATGTGTAGGAAAATGATGTATACACTAGATTTTCAAAAAAGTATGAGCCTGCTAGGCGTCCAAGAGACCAGGAGCAGCCAAGGATTAGAAGAAATAACGGCCATCGGCGAGAAATGTAGCTGTGGTGTGAGGAGAGCCAGTGGAGAACAGGGCAGCTGTCTTGGTGAGTGACCATCAATAATACAACGATTTATGGGATGAGGGGATACAAAAAAAGTCACAATTTTGTGAGACCCTCTCAACTGTTTCTAAAGTATATATTTAAAACTTGAAAAGTTATTAATAGGGGGATCATTATGACTTTTAAAAATTGCTCAATATGTTTAGGCTTGGCAAAAGTATTATCTTAATAAATATATTTAATAGCCACCTCTAAACATATGACTGTGACTGACGAAACCATGCCTCTTACATTGCCAGTTAAACACATTAACATTCAGCTTTCAGCTTTTCTTATAAATAGGTAATCTTTTGTGTCTATCCTAGCATTAAAATGATGTGGGTTTGAACATTTGTCTACACTTTGTTATGACTGAAACACCGCTGAATCAATGAAGTGTTGATAATATTTTGGTTTTACCAACTAAAGCTTTGTCCTTGGAACATTTCTTATTTTGTACTTCAGAAAGTTTCCAGAACAATGACCTATATAAGTTAGTATGCGGGTCAAGATGCTAAACATTCATAATGGCACATAAATACAGGAATGCAGAGTCTCTGGCTGATACATAAATGCATATTTATATTCCAAATACTGTCAAACAAGTAACTGCCTGTAACCTGCCCAAAAATGTATTTCTTGTTTATATCATGTAAGGGGGAGTGTGTGTGTGTGTGTGTGTGTGTGTGTGTGTGTGTGTGTGTGTGTGTGTGTGTGTGTGTATATAGTATAGTTAGTGTGTGTGTGTGTGTGTGTGTGTGTGTGTGTGTGTGTGTGTGTGTGTGTGTGTGTGTGTGTGTGTGTGTGTGTGTGTGAGAGGAGTCTGTGTGACAGGCTGTATATAATTAACAATTATAGACATTTATGTTTACATGTCGTTAAAGAAGGAATCTGAAATCAGCACCATTGTAATAATTAAATCTTGCTTTCATCACATTTCACATTAGTTTTTAAAAGTGTTTGATTGAAGCGTGCACTCTTTGCCTACAGAGTTCCCATGATACCATTTTCTCTTCACAGCTTGCACACAAAACGTTTATTGTATTGACTATTGAGTGTCACTAATATAGTATGTATCACTTACAAGACATTAAAAGGCTATGTAGTACAATTATTTTCCTGATTTCTTAATAGCTTACTGTGTACATTCCCTCCCTTATTAAAGCAGGAGGTGGAGAGTTGCTACAGCTGATCAAGCAGAGGGAGGGAATCTGTTTTACAGAGAAAGACCATCCAAAGCTGGAGAATGAGGCTTCCTCCCCTTAGACATGAGCAGAGCTCCTGCTGAGTCCTCCACCTCCACAAGACAGGAAACCCAGCAGGGGGTCTGCTCATCACAAGTTAGGCTAGAAATAATTCAATGTAGGAATTCTCTGCCTGCATGTATTCAGGTGCTGATAAAAAGACGTTGTCAGATTTGAATTCTTCATTTGGTAGGGTTACCAAACTGCCATCAGTACTGCAACACTGCCGCGCCATGGTGCCACGTATTCCTTTAGTCTTTGTTTTAACAGAGGGAAAAAACAGAGAAAGAAAATGGCAGTCTGGAAGTATTTAGTCTTCGTCCTGTGTGTAGGAACACACCAAATCCTTCAGCTGTACAAATCCATGCAATTAGAAATCCAATTTCTAATTTTAGAGGACTACATAGCGACAGATGGTAAAGATTTGGGTTCTAAAGTGTGTGAGAACAATTGCATAATGATTGTCAATAAGCGGCTGCGACAAAAACTAAAATATCAGAGAGATCCTGCATGAAACTGTTACTGTCTGCTGTCCCAAGGGTTGTTTTAAAAAATGTGTTTTTCTCTTTTGAACCGATCACGTCGGAAAAATTAGAAACTGGGAACACATCTTGTTAGAATTTCTGAAACAACTTCATGTAATTTGCATGGAGAATGGAATTTTGTTGACCCCTTAGAACTGGGAGAACTCCCAACATTTCACAAAAAGCACAACATGTTTTCTTGCTTTGGTTTTGCGACTTAGTGCTCCAGGTCTTCGTCTTGGCTTCTATCTAGTAATATGTTTACATATAAAATCATAGATGGCTGTTCGGTGAGCTCAATTCAACTAAATTAAGCACACCAAGAGTCATTTATAATAGAAGATAATAAATTACGCCTAACAGACTGACTGGTCACCAGAGCTGTACAACAGGTAAAAAAACAAACAAATAAATACTGTTTTTTGTGTGTTAGGACTGAAGGACAAAACACTTTTAAAATATGACTACGTTTTCCATTAGAATGCATTATGAGTTAATTTTATGTTGTAGACTATGGTCATATAATATATATTTTGAAAAGTGTACTTAACTGAACAAAACCAAAGCAGCTGAGCGAAACAAGTAGTCTCATAGAATAATCAAGTAATGTACCTGGTTACTTTCAACAACTGAGATTTTGGAGATATCTGTTCAAATGTCAAAATACTATATTTCATGATTTGGCGGTACTCACCCGTTTGCCTGATAATGGCAACATGGATTAAAACATACATATATGTGTCAGGAGAGGAATAATCCTTGTTTTTCGTTCAGAGATCACACACACACACACACACACACACACACACACACACACACACACACACACACACAGGGTGCTGTTAAAAATGTTTCCCAAGACAGACATTTCCTGTTAAAGCGATACAGCTTAAATCTACTTTGGAGGGCTCACACACACACACACACACACACACACACACACACACACACACACACACACACACACACACACACCTACACGGAGGAGATGAAGATTGACAGCAGCTGCTACCTGAGACCTCTACCAGTCTGTTACCTGCTCCCCTCCCATCATAGGTTTTGATCACTGAGCTGTCACAGACTACCCCCAACACGCACGCACGCACGCACACACACACACACACACACACACACAGTCAG